GGCACCCCTGAAGGAAATCCTGCTCAACCTCTGTTTAGGCATTAACTGGCCAGCAATAATGAGCTTTGGCCTCTCACAGTGCATGAGTCAAATCAAATTCCCTTGCCAATTAGAACGAGATTTAAACGATGCCCCTGTAACACAGGAGCTAATCTTCATGGGCGATCTACTGTGTTCCTGCACTCAAACAGCCTCTTATATTCTCACTGGTGCGAGCTCTCATGGTGGGATTTGTTTCTGTTTTCATATGTTTTTGCTGGACCTAGATGCTGTAGACAGGCTGTGTGCAACCATCCTGCTTGTGGAGCAGACCTGGCAAATGGCCCACTCAGGACATTTGACCCTGTGAATTTTTTTTTCTTCATCTGTGAGGTTCTTTTTTCGGGAGCTAGCATTTTTTCCTACAACAAGGACTAAAACAGCTCAAAAGGGTGGAAAGTAAAATATTTTTATAAGGCTCCTGGACGCCAGGTTGCATAAAAGGTTCCACAGGCGTTGCATCAAACCTGGACTGTTAAGACCACAGATTCTGTTTTTGTTGCCATAAAACTGCCCTTTCAGAAAAAAAAAGTAAGTATATGTATATTCCATTTGCCTGAGCCTTATAAATCTAAATGAACTGAGAAATTAAATTAGCTCCCCCAAAGAAAACAGAAAACTAAATATATTGGGCTTATTAATGTAGAAATGAACACATTGATTCAACTGTTGGGTGAGCTGTTATGGCAATATTAGTGGGTGATGTGGTTTTCAGTGAATGAAATTGATTGTATCTCTCAGATATTTAACACTGGTCAAGAGTTTTAGGTTTGTAGGTGTATATTAAAAAAAGCAAGGAGGGTCCTGAATGACTCTTTATCACAACAACCACATAGGTAGATCATATGAGATCACACCAACATCAACAAAAATCAATAAAAAATGTATTTTTCTACATATCCTTCATTTAAGTCTTATTACTCCTGCAGAAATTGTTTCCATCAGAGAGTTCCTTCTTTGTCAAATATTGGGGGATTTCTTTGATTCCTCTAAAGCCAATTGATAAGTTACTTTCTAATGTTCTTTCAAATTTGGGTAAAGTTAAAAATTTGAAAAAGTTAAAGAAAAAATTAGAGTGAGTTAGAACAATATTTGACAGTATTTCTTTGCATTTCTTTGGTTAATATTGTAATCTTCTGATATCAAATTTGTGGATTTAAAAACCTCACCTCAAGCATGAACTGATCAAATATGTCACCCCAGAGAAATGTGTCTTCACAACCATACATCTGTCTTTGACTATTGGACTTACCCATGTGCTCATGCAGGACACTTGTTGTGATCCTCCTTTGGCCAGCAGGTGGGGGTGGTGTGGGGCGGGGGCAGCAGGTTCAACTCATCACTCCTTTTCTTCTTTTCCTCTTTGGATGATAACAGTGATTAGAGTCTCCTTCGCTGAGCCTGTCTGGTCACAGTAATTGCAGGTTAGTTGTCCATCACTCCGTGCTCTAGTAACTGTGAAGGTAAAAGAGAAGGGAGAACAATTAGGAGAAGGAAGCCATTTAATTAGTGAAGAGCTGATGTTGTTTGAGTAGAATATGAGTTAAACATATATCAGCTGCAATGTTGTTCCAGCCATTTAATCGCTAAACATTAGTTTAGCCTGTAAGGATAAAACCCACTCTGTGGACTTTTCGTTTTTCATTTACAGAGGTTTTTGTTTTACAGATCACAGGTCCAAATTGTCTGTCAACTGCTGAGAAATACTTCCTGTATACCCAGAGTTCCTGCTTGATTCTGTTTACAAGTTATGGTAATCAAGAAACCCATTAAAATGTTAACTTTTTAATCTTTTCCCTATTGTCACAATGCCTTGGATTTCAAATCATTTCAACTTTACATGAAATGGTGTTTATTCTAAATGTTTTATGTCACTCTGACTAATTTTTGTTGGCAGACAGTTTTGTTTCCCCGGCCTTATCAGTACCCAGTATTAAGTCTGTTTGCTTTGGGAGAAGAATGCAATTAGCAGAGTCACCCTCACTGATCAATGCTGGCATATTATTTGCACTCACCCACGAGCAAACATGTTTTTCGTTAGAACAGATAGGAAAGGAATGTCAAACACAAGCTGGTGTCCATAAAGCTGTCAACGAACGCCAAAGTCACGTTACATAATATGAATTATTTTCCACATAGCTTGAATTTAAACTCTTCATGAAGATAGTCTCGTGCTCCTCTTCAAGCTCTGACTTTTTTTTTTTGTCGTCCCACCCTGGTTTCAGGTGAACAATGAGTGACCCCCTGCTGCTGGGCCAGGTGACCTCATCACAGCATGGTGAATCGGTCCACACTCTGACAAATAAAGGTTGCCCCGGTGAAAATGCCAGTGTCGGTTCTCACAGTCGCCCCGATAACATCTCCATCCCCCCAGCCACACATGCATTGACGTGAAGCAGCCACACAGATAGAGTTGCAAATGGGCACGTCTATGAGTCAAAGCAGGTGAGGGTGGGACACTGGACATCCCCCCAGCGGACGCCTTGTTCTCACATTAATTGATCGCTACTTGATCTTGGCTGGTGATTCAGGGGTACTCTCTTGGGCAGGCCACTAGTTTCAGTGATATGTGTGGGAACTGTGTGAAGACCACGTTGGAGCACCTGCTAAATGGCTGTTTGGCCCTATTCCCCCAGCACCCTGCCCATTGTTAGGGATTTATATTCAGTTTCCTTCTCAGATGGCAACATAGTGGGGACTACTAAAGTGGACGCTCTCTTTTTTGGAAAATGGGGTTGCTTAAAAGACAGAGCTGCAATGAGATGAATTGAGATAGCTGCCGATCCCAAAGGTCTGTTAGGACATAAAAACGGTGATGTCAGAGGTTTAAACAGCGACTGGATGTCTTAAAGCCTACGGTTTCAGTCACTGGTGTTCACCACACATACATAAAAACAAAAAGTAATGTAAGGTAGAGGCCCTGAAATTTCTAGCTGGGAGGATCACAAGCCAACAATTAGCCTTAATGACAGCCTGATGTCCTGTGACTTGCTGATTGACCCATGACCCTCACCTTAATGAGGGCTGTAATAAGGGACATTACTCTGTCATTGTGAGGTCTCAGTTGGTGGAGAATGGTGAGATGAAAGGTGGCCACTCAAGTGTGAGCTGCAGGTGGGATGGCAGGTTGAGTAGGCAGCGAAATGCAGGAAGAATATTATTGTGTTACTGCAACACATATGTGTCTGAGGTTGTACAATGACTAATTCTTAAAACAAGAAATTCTGCACAACTAAAAACTGTAGGATCAAGCAATTGGACAAAGAATAATTTTTTGATTTTTCACTGGCTCAGAGATTTCCTTCAATTTTTTTAAATTGTTAGATAAGTCACCGGAAATTAAGCATTAGTAGGAGATCCACAGTCTTTTTATTACCTGTAGTTACTGGTGATTGAAGAATTTCCAAGTTTACTTGGCATCAAATTCTCAATTATATCAATAATTTTTTACAGTCAACATTAAAAAAAAATTTTTCTAAGGAGTTGTCTTTTTTCATAGTTTGATGTTGAATAGTCATCTGTTTTGTCATTCCAAATTAAGACACACTTAGAGTTGATTTTAATGGAAATAGTTTTCTTTAAATAATCAATCAAAATCCAATCTAAAAATGTCTTTAAAAAACTAAAATAATAGATCTGGTATTTTTCCAATAAAGAAATTTAAAATCAGATATATACAGCACATTTTTGTCTGTCCTGAAATGAATTATAATTTGATGCTTACATTGTATTAACTGTCATCATCAGTTCCATTCTGAATTCCACCATTAAAGTGCAAGGACACTTGACGGCACAATATTGCAAACTCAACCTTCACAGTTGGTCTTCTCTTTCAAACATTTGTCTCAGGGTCAAAGACACCAGTTGGCATCTTCATAAGAAAAGAAATAGAAAATGCCAAATGTAGTTTTACCAGGAGGTTGTTTTTTTTAAAGTACATCAGCTGTTCTTTGTTTTTCCACTCTCTTCCATTATTATGCATGCAGTGATCTCCAGAGAGAAGATAAGGAGGTGTAGGAGTGGCAGCGTTGTCAGGGGAGCTGGGAGGGACTACCAAATTTGAATCAAGTCAACTTTCCGGCCATCTGGCCAGTTTTAAGGATAGAGGGAAAAAAAACCTTGAAAGCTGGAAAAGGAGGAGGCGTGAAACTGATTAAACTGAATACTTAGTATCTACAGCTTTTAGATGACGTGGAAATCCATCATTCAAAACAACTGGGTGACACTGTGTTTTATTCTAACTCATAAATTAGTTCTCAGGAAGAAGCACTGCTACTTCACTTGTTTGATGAGTTACAGTACAATTGCCAACCCTAATTATGTGGTTCATCTACCAGTGTTGACTCAGTGCACTGCAGATTGATGAGTCGCTCGTAGGAAACCCTGCAGTCAACGTAAGTGGATCTAAAGACACGCATCAAGGACCTAGAAAAGTGGCAGATATGTGGGTCAGAGGAAGCTGCATCACTTCAATTCAATATAAGGCGAGCAACAAGACACATCCTTGAAGCAGGCAGTCTGAAATTAAGGACAAAACAATGTGTCAGCCAATGATTGATCAGTCTGGAGTGTTTTGTCAAAATTCAGTCGTCTTTGCAGCCCCACCCCCAGGCACTTCCTATAATCAAAGACCATGCCCACCCATGGCTAATTAGACATTAAGCAAACGTCAAGAAGGCCTGATTTAAAGCAGCCACCCCAGACCTGGGGAAAACAAAAGGGCAGAGAGCAGCGTTGGGAAACGGGAAAGATTCAGATCAATACTAAGCGCTAACTTTGTTTGCTGAAATGCCACGGAGGCTGAAATAAATCAGATAGAGGAGTGAGAGAAGGGCCAGTGATTGCGTTCTCACGGTTCCCTGGGCACTGCACTGAGAATAGGCACACCTGGCCCAACAAAGCCCAGGAAAAGGGGAGCGTTGAGCACACATGCAGAA